TCTATTTGCATTTTCTACATGTTGAGAGCCAGTTAAGCAAGCACTATTTGTTGAATATTTTTTCCATTTTATATTTTTAGGTTCTCTGTCAACAATTAGGGGTGTGGATTGATATCAGGGTCTTATATTCGATTCCATTGGTCCACCTGTCTGTTTTTATGCCAATTCCAAGCTGTTTTCATTACTATAGCTCTATAGTAGAGCTTGAAGTCTGGGATGGTGATACCCATAGATGTTCCTTTATTGTACAGGATAGTTTTGGCTATCCTGGGTTTTTTGTTTTTCCATTTGAAGTTGAGTATTGTTCTTTCAAGGTCTGTGAAAAATTCTGCAGGGATTTTGATGGGAATTGCATTGAATTTGTGGATTACTTTTGGTAGGATTGCCATTTTTAGCATAGTTGATTAACTCAGGAAGTATTTGTTCTAAAATCCTTCCTTTGAGTTTATGAATTTTTATAGGTGTTTAATTTATAACAGTTATTAAATTCAGTGTTTAGATTAAACTGAAGTAAAACTTAGATTTCTGAATCACAAATTTCAAAATGGAAAAAATAATTTTAAAATAAATTTCTTTTGTTTAAGTTAAAAAATGAGAGTAGTCATCATAATATATTAGTAAAATGTACTATTTCAACAAATGACTACAGCTGTGGGAGTTCAAAAATCTCTGCCTGGCATAGTCAGTCCAGGGCTACCTAGGATTCAGGATTTGTATCTTGAGCCAAGGCTTGAAGGCTGATGGAACTGGAATAGAAGGGATGAGGAAAACATTACAAAGAAAGAAGACATTAAGTGAACTGCTGAGGTTTGCTTGTGTCATTAAACAACATTCAAATAAATGTTTGCAGTGCTCAACAGCAGTGAACCAGAAATAACTGTACAGAACTAGGGAATCAGTTTCTGAGATAGAGAGCCACAGTACTCATTTAATCAAGTTCCAAATGATTTGAAGGTTTACTGAGACTTGAGAATTTTTAGCTTCATGTAAATGCTCTTAGTGATATGCCTGTGATTGTGTGTGTGTGTGTGTGTGTGTGTGTGTGTGTGTGTGTGTATGACACTATAAAATGATTAAAATAAGGCAGTGGCCAGATCTGAAAAGAAAAACTAAGAAATAACAATTTGGGGGCTGGAGAATGACTCGTAGGTGATGAGCCCTGACTGTTGCACAGGACCAGGATTCAATGGTTCAATTCTCAGCACTCACACAGCAGCTTCCAACCATTTGTGACTCCTTTCTTGCTTTTGAAGGCAACAGGAATGTACGTAGTTCACAAACATACATAGGCAAAATGTCCATACATGTCAAATTTATTTTAAAAGATGGAACTGTATTTCAATATTCAACTGTATATCAACTACATTACCAATGCTTAATTGCATTTAAATATTTGCTTTCTGTTCAGTGAGGAACATTTGTTACAAGTGTAACTAGAAAGTTCCAGGTCCATTCCCTCTTTGAGTATTGGAGAGTGCCATTTATTTGAATTCTAGAAAAATACCAGAAATGAAACTATAGTGATACCAGATTCATTCCTCCCCTTGTACTCTAATGTCAAGTGTACTTCGCAAACTGATTGCCTTCTGTTCTGAGAAGGTGTATGTGACAGTGTGCCTACCTCTCTTCTTTTTTTCAATGGGCTCCACATCTATTACCACCAGCACAATTTCAATGTAGGAAGCTGGAAACAATGATATTATCAAGTACTTATAGGCACCTGTTTCCAAAACAAGTTGTGGTGCTCCTAATAATCATATTAATATTTTATATAACCTGATTGCATTTTTGCCTCAACATGTATTATTCCTAAATGCTATACTCTATGTTGTTACATGGATATGCCTAATGAAATCTCAGCGCAAATGCTGTCATTTTGTGACAAGGTGTTTTGCTTTTATATCTCCTTGGGAGAGAAGATTGAGAGACTGACTGTGCCTCTGGCTCAAGAGCTCAAAAGTGCTTGGATTTGAGGAGTCTGCCACCACACATAGCCCCAACACAAAGAAGAAATGAAAGGAATGAGATTACAGTTAAATAATATGTATGATTAGTTTTATTACACTGTAGTACTCAGGTGTTTGCACATGTTAGGAGTCTCACCAGGAATGTGGCCATCATGGTGCTTGTGTGTTCACACCTAAATGCAAGTAAGTCACAGGTCTATTTTAGAAAGCAGGTCACCTTCAAACACTTCATAGATCTACAGAATATATCATTTATGATGTTTTAATAACATAGGGGCTTTTTTATGATGAGACATGTCTGCTCCTGGCAGCACCAGTCTCTACCAGAGAAGGTGATGGGCATCGAAGAAACTCCACATGGAGTTGACTTTCTTTGTGGCAAAAGTAGCCACTGGGCAAGGAAGTGCCCTTGCCTTGACTGATGGCAGTATGCTGTCCTAGTTGGACAAGAAGGACACAAAAGAGAGTGACTGTAAAACCTTGCCAAGACAAGGCAGGACAATCCTTCATAAACACGCTAGATAGATATGTGCTAGGCCTATAGGCCAAAGATGGATGCCCCAGCATTGCAGAAGAACCTTGGGAAGAACCTTGGGTGACTGTCCAGGCAACCAGCTGTTTTGTCATTTCATTTTTTTTTTTTTTTGAAGTTGCTTGCTCACACTTCCTGCTTATTCAGTTAATAATAATTCCTTCTCAGGTCTCTGAGGTAGTTGAAGACTAGATAGTATAGCCATAGTATTTATAGTTTTCCTTGTTTACCAAAATCAGAAAAGAAACTCACTAAAGTGTAAAAGTTTGAGAGACATTAAAAGATAGGATAGACACTGCAATATTTTCTCTGAATTTGTCAAATGCAAATGGACTGTTGTTGATGTACTTATTGCCTGTATGTGTTGTATAGCTATTGTACTTACTGTATGTGGTTTTTCTATATTAGTTAAAGCCTTCTCTTTTGTATTAGACAAAAGGGGGATTATGGTAATATATTGTTTATGATTAATAAAACCACTGAAGATCAGAAGGCAAAACTAGCCGCCAGCCATAGAAGCTGGGCAGTTGCAGCACACACATTTAATCCCAGCACTCAGGAGACACAGGCAGATGGATCTCTGTGAGTTCAAAGACCACTCAGGGCTACACAAGAGTGAATCAGTCTAAAAGAGTAACAGAGCTCATACCTTTAATCCCAGTACTAGAGAGGACTATAAGGAGGAAGCAGAGTGTTCTGGCAACTAGATTCCATCCACATTGAGAATATGAACTTCTCAGCCCTGTTAGAGGCGAAGCTCTCTGGTAGCTTGCCTGATTTGCTTCCCTGATCTTCATCTTGAACCCCAATATCTGTCTCTGGGATTTTATTATTCGTGCTACACAGGGCCACTGATGTGATAATCCAAAATGGTAAATAATTTTTGGTTCAGTGTTCTTGTTCCATGAAGGCTGATTTTCCTCTCATTTGCACAGTGGTTAAATTCCTGTAAAAGTTTATGTATTATTAAGGTACTACAGATGCCATTCTACACAACTTGGAATTAAATAGGGAGCTTGTTTCTTTTTTGCTGTTGCTAGTATTCACAATGGGAACTTGTTTTTAATACATGGATTCCTGACCCTGATTGCCAGACATTTTTGTCCCAAGGAGTTCTAGGATAAGGTCAAAGATTCTCTTGTTGGCTATTGTGGGTCCTATGAATGCCTAGGGAAGTGGGTATGAATCCACAGTAGTAGTATCAGTGTCTCTGTTCCACACCCAACTGTTATTTTACCTCACCTATAAAAATGAGTGTTGTCACCTCCAATGTGGAGGGTCATACCGTTTGTAAAATGAAATATATTAGCCGTGCAAACTCATAATGATGACACTATTCGCACTTCATAAAAATCTGACCAGGGTTCTGTCATGTTTTCCAAAGTCCATTGTTCAAAACCAAAAGAAGCTCGAAAGGACTTGTTCTTTCTCTCGCTCGCTCCCCATCTCCTTCCCAAACGAAGGGCAGCAACTTCAAAATGTGACAGGAGTCATCCTCAGGTCTGTTGGAGATGACAGATAACGGCACAGTTTGATGGGCCGCTTCGCTTTAACTACGCGGACTTGGCTTCTCAGCCCCATCTGATGCTCCTTGTGCCTTCCTTTCCTACACCAGCTACCACCCTCTCTAAGTCCAGCATCACTTTTTCCTCGGTGTTGCTAACCCTTTCCCTACTTTGAGTTAAGGTCTTGACGTTGCTGGAGAACTCTAGCATTCCACACTGAGGAGGCTCCTGTCCAAGCTGTGGGGGGGAGGGGAGGGGACGACGACAACACACCACTCCCAGTTAGTCCTGCTCTGTGGTTCTGAGCCCCGGTACTGTCCAATGTGGACCGCTGCATTCCAATCAGAGTGATTAGCCCTCTGTTCCCACACCCTGCCCCTAAGCATCCCGCCTCCTACCTTACCTTCCAAGCATCAGGGTTGCAGGTATTGGACCAGCTGTCTGAACTGTCCCATCTACTACCAGTTCACAGTTTAAGGTATTTTCATTCTGACTCACCAGTCTGCTAGGGACTAAGACCAGCATTTTTTTCCTATTAGCCTGGGCAATCCACCTGGGGCTGGATCACTCATAGCGGAGTTAGAAGTCCCCACCCCCACCCCCGTGCCACCCGGCTGCCCACAAAACTACCTCTCCAGGGCATCACCCCCCACCCCGAAACACCCCTCAGAAGCTGTGCTCTTGCGAATGTCACCCGCACCCTCTTGGAAGCATCCGCAGACCGCGAGCCCCACGGGCAGGGCGCTAGCGCCACGCTGCAGGGTGCGGGTGCCCGTGAGCCAGCTAGCCCGCGAACGAGCACGAGCAGAGGAAGGTGGGTGCGCGAGTGGGCCCTGGAGGGAGACACCTCCGGAAAAGGGAGCCACGCGGCTGTGCTGGCAGGACCGCAGTGCCACCTCTCTGGAGAAAGCCCTCACGCCCGCGCTCGCACGCACGTGCACACGGCGGGCAGGGAGAGCAAGAGCCAGAGCCAGAGCTTTTCAGCTCCTTGAAGCGATGGCATCTGCCCTCAACAGCAAAATCCACCCACCGGGAACCTGCGCGAGCTCCAAAGCCGACACCCGGGCTGGCTCCGGGTGGAGAATGGACTGTGATCCTGAGATGCACGTGAAAATGTGCAAGAAGATTGCTCAGCTCACCAAGGTAAGGAGGCGCTGCGGGCGGACCAGCTGTGCGTCAGGGGCACCCAGGTAGGGGTGGGAGTGTGGGCGCACCCCAGGGGAGACATGCACTGAATCTCGACAAACTTTGTCTGGGAGACCAAGGGAAGCTGTCGGGTGAAGTGACCTTCTGGAGATAGCATTTGGAAGCAGCAGGCAGGATCTTTGCCAAGGAAACTCCCGCAGCCAGCTTGCTGGGCAGGTGGGCTGTGCTTTCCCAAGGTTAGAGTATGAGAGGATGTGTGTGCATGCATGCGTGCATGCGTGTGTGTGTGTGTGTGTGTGTGTGTGTGTGTTAGAGTATGAGAGGATGTGTGTGTGTGCATGCCTGTGTGAGTGAGAAAGAGGATGTGTGTGTGTTTGTGTTAGAGTGTGAGAGGATGTGTGTGTGTGTGTGTGTGTGTGTGTTTGTGTTCATGCTCCCCTTACCAGCCCTCTATGCTCTACAGCTGGGAAGATCATGTGAGCCCTATTTAAACACGATTCATTTATTCTTTCATTCAACAAATATTTGAGTCATTTGTTGAGTGCTAGCAGCCTTGTGTGGCATCGTACAAAACCTGGAAGACAGCCGGTAGGACTTACTATCAAACTGACTGCAGTCATGTGTACAAGCATGAAAGAGGAAAGGTGGGATTCAGTATATAATTGAGAACGGAAAAGACCTTGGGAGGTCAGCCAGCCCATCTCCCTACTTCATCTCAGGGTCCTGGTTGAACATATACAGGCTCTGTTTCTGAGATGTTACCAATGTGGGTTGCTAATCCCTTGCAATTTCCCAGTTAGGAACAGTTCCTCACAGATTCCCTCCACATGTTGGGAAAGGGAAAACATCCCTCCCTGACTTTCCTATAGAGTTTGAGTGAATTAAATTAGTTGTTTACTTGGGATTTTCCTTTTGGCCTTAAACTCCTAACCCAACGTCCCCAGTAGAAGAGCAGCTCCAAGTTTTGTCCAGTGTATAACGAAGGACATGTTCTGTATTCTTTCCTAAACATCTTCCTCTCACTTCCCACACCTGCTCTTTGCAGGATGGATAGGCATCCTTCCCGCACTGCCTTGCCAAAAGGAGTGCAACACAGGCTTGAAACAGAGAACCGCTGCTGTCTTCGCTTGCACTGCCATTACCTTCATATTCCTTTCACATGATCCTGTCTCCAAATAGTCATTTCTTGGAAGCCTTGACTTGTACCACTATGTGTAACACACACTTATAAAAATAGCACCAATAATAAACCTTAAGCTTATTATATGAAATTTATTTAAGTACCTGGAAGGGGAATTGGAGTATAACGCACCTCCCCTATCTTCAAAAGGCTAAAAATGTTTATGAAGGGGAGCAAGATTTGAAATAGCAAGAGAACTTTAAAAAGAATAACAATTGCTACATGTGATAGTTCAAATTATGAGTTCTATGAAAGTAAAAATGTAGAGTATGCCACTGTGTGCAGAAGCAAGGAAAATTTTATGAAAGAAATTATCCTTGACCTGATAGTCATGATTTTTAATCATGCTAGGAATGCCTGCTGTATTTAAAATATTTAATCTTTAAAAAGGGTTCTGTTATTTTTAATATATGTGTACATGTGTATCTGTATATATGCTCCATCGGGTGGGTGTCCACGGAAGCCAGAAGAAGATGTGGGCCGCCAAGGAGCTGGAGTTACAGGTGACTGTGAGCTACCCAATGTGGTTGCTGGGAACCAAACTCAGATCCTCTGGAAGAGCAGCAAGTACTGTTATCCACTGAGCCGTCTGTCTAGTCCCATATGCTGAATGTCATAAAACCTAGGCACCGCCCATCCTGGCTAATAGAGTCATTTTGGGAAAGGGACTTTTAATTGAGAAAGTGTGTCCATAAGATTTCCCTGCAGGCAGGTCTGTAGTGCAATTTTTAATTACAGTGGAGGGGCCCCACTGACTGTGGGTGGTGCTACCCCTGGACAGATGGTCATGGGTACTATAATAAGAAAGCTGTCTGGGCAAGGCAAGCCAGTGAACACTCCTCCCTGGCCTCTGCTTTAGCTTCTGCCTCCAAGTTCTTCCCCTGACCTCCTCGGATGATAGACTACTAACTGTTAAGATGAAATAAACACTTCCTTCTTCAAGGTGCTTATGTGATAATGTTTTATCACAGCAGTAGGAATCCTAACTAAGACACAGCCTGTTCCTCTGTAGTGTACTATGATTGTGAAATGATTCTATTCAGTAACACTTACGGAATACCTATTATTTGCAAAGTCACGAAGACCCCGCAGTGTGGAAGTCAGAAACCGCCCCTGGTACATAATCAGCAATGTTTCTTAGAGTACAAATCCATTACAAATCCCTTGATCCTTGCTGTGTCCTGCCTCTCATTACCACTTTCATGCTAATTGGCTGACAGTAAAAGTTTTGTTTCCAATAAAAAAAAAAACACTCTTCTTTTGTCTACTATTTCTACTGTGCACATTTTCCACATTTCATATTTCCATGAGTTTTTTTTTGATAGGTGAATTTAATCCAGGTGATTATTGATACACTTCATCATAATTTGTGGTTTTCCTTTACCATTTTTCTCTTTGCTTCCTTAGTCTCTATCCCATCATTGATGAGATGATATATATTCTATTACTGGTTTGAGTACTTGGGGCTTTATTCAACTCTGTCTCAGAATTGTCTTTAATATTTCAACATAGTTACTTAACTATGATGCTTTCTATTAAAGTTGGCTAAAAGGATTTTCCAAAACAAAACAAAACAACTTTCTTCACCTGTTAGTGAAATTCGACATATTTTTTGGTCAATGATCCATTGACATTGTCTATTTAGAGAAAGTCCATTCCTCATATACATTTGAAGTTAGTTCCTTTTCACACCCATCACTAAGCAACCTTTCTTCTTTTTCTGTCTGTTTCCAAAACTTTTCCTTAAATAATTATTCATTTGTATATGTGTCTGAGTAAGTATATACACACGTTTTCTGTGCACATGCTGATGGCCAGAAGAAAATGTCAGGTGTCTCTGCCCATTCCGATGAAGCAAGGTCTTTCCCTGAACCAAGAGGCTGTCGTTTTCATATGTAGGCAAGCATCCAGGGAAGCCCAGTTATCCTTTTATCTTCACCCATTTCAGAGTTGGTGTTACAGCTCATTGTATGGGTGCTGGAATTTGAATTTGGGTTCTCAGGTTGCTCAACAAACACTCTTAGCCACCGAGCCATCTCTCCAGCTCAGATCTCCAGGTTTGTCTCCTCTGGGCATTTCATACAGATGAAGTCACACAATATCTCATCCTTTATTTCTGGCTTTTCCTTTGAGGACTATCATGTTCTATCTAATCATCTATTCATACCTTTTTATTGTTTATGCATGTATCTCTTGTATAGCTATCTCATGCTTTATTTATCCTTTTGCCAATTGATAATTTTGGAGTCCATTTTTTTTTGTGGCTATCAGAAACAGTATTGCTATGAACATCATATATTCTTATGCAAGTCATTATGTGTCTTGGATACATACTTAATAGTAAAAAAACACAAATTTCTGTTTAGCTCTCTAGGAAACTAGGAAGTTTCCCAAAGTTACTGTCGTTTCTACACTTTGCAGTTCACTTTTTCAGCAAAATTTCCTACTCCACACCCCTATTCCAAATTCTGAACTGACAGTAACATACAACTGCAGGCTTCACTTTGTTCTTATCTCTCACTCTTAATGCTTATTTTTAAAATTTTAATTGATGCATAAAATATGTATGTGTTTGTGAGACACAGTATGATGGTTTGAGGATGTAATATGTAATGACTGTCTCAGGATAGCTAGTATCTCCATCACCCTGTTTCATTGTGGTGAGATTATTCAAACTCTTTTCTAGCTAATTTGAAAGACACAATTTTTTGTTGTCCACCATGGATTCCCCATGGTTCTCTGGAACATTAAAAGGCAGTCTGCCTACCTCAACTGTACCTTTATATTCAGTAACCAGCCCTCCCCTTCCTCTTAACCCTCCTTAGTCTCTGGAAACTACTATTATACTTCCTACCCTCATGAAATCAGCAATTTTTGCCTCATGTAAGTAAGAACATGCAACATTTGTCTTTCTGTACCTAACTTACTTCAGTTACAATAATGTCTACCAGCTCCATTCCTGATGCAGCAAATGGCAGGATCTTATCCTGTTTTATGAGTGGATAGTACACTGTTGTATATAGCTAGCCCACTTTTATCCATCAGAAGACATTTGGGTATATTTCATCTCTTAGCTTCTTTTGTGAATACACATTCATCCCTCTATTTTCCTTTTGTTTTCTTTCTTGAAATGGCTTTGTCTGTAAAAATTAGATCACATTTATCTTTTAAGTTCCCCTTCCTCTCTCTCTCAAAAAATAAGCTAGAAAACCTTTTCATTTTAAATGTGTTTATTATATGGCTATTCATTTTTCTTATCCATCTGCTTCTCCAGCAGTTGACATAGTAACTGGCACAAAATAGAACCTTACTAAGTTTGTTAAATTCTATTAAAATTTCCTCCACATATGGGACTGGAGAGATAGATGGCTCAGCAGGTAAGAGCACTATCTGTTCTTCAGAGGATCCTTGGTTAATTTCCAAACCCATGTGGCAGCTCACAGCCATCTGTAACTCCAGTCCCAGGGAATCTTACATCCTTCTCTGGCCTCTGGGAGTACTCCTCACATGTGGTACACATACTTCCATGCAGGCATAATAGCCACATATATTTTTTTAAAAATTCTTCCCATGTACTTGGTTATGATTTCTTTAATTATACTGATTATATACATATACACCCTAAAATAATAAAATTCTTAATTGTATGTATAGTAGCATAATGCAGGTAGTCTAGTAAGTAAATAATCATGTGATTCAAAATCCAAAATGCACATGAAAACCACCTGGAAAGCTTCTAAAACCATAGCTGACTGCTGGGTATTATAGCACATATCTATAATCCCTGCTACTTGAAAGGTGAGGCAAAGGTATTGCA